GTATAATTTATTTTAACAAATTAATCATGACTATAATTGTAACAGGCGGTGCTGGCTTTATCGGTTCAAATTTTGTTCATTACTGGCTAGACAACAACAATGAAGCGATTGTTGTATTAGACAAAATGACCTATGCAGGGAGTTTGTGGGCGATCTTCCATATTTTGATTATTATCTTGCAAGCGTTTATTTTTATGATGCTCACCGTGGTTTACTTAGCCATGGCACATGAATCACATTAGTTTTTTGGTAAGTTTTGTTTTTAGTGGTTAGTTTTAGTTGTTAAGTTTAATTTTAGAGAGGGTAACAAAATGGATGCATTAGCGTTAATTCAAGCCTACACAGGCGTTGGTATTGGTTTAATTATCGGTTTGGGTGCTGCTGGCGCTTGTATCGGTATCGGTATTATGTGTGCTAGCTTCTTAGAAGGCGCTGCACGTCAACCAGAAATGATTCCACAATTACAAGGTAAAGTATTCTTGTTATTGGGTCTTATCGATGCTTCATTCATTATCGGCGTTGGTTTGGCTATGATGTTTGCCTTTGCTAACCCATTATTAAGCGTGGTTGCTAGATAATTAGCCTCATAATTTGGCTGCCAGAACTTTGGCGCAAATTAAACGACTTAAATATTTGGAGTAAGTAATGGACATTAACTTTACACTAGTTGCTCAGGCGATCGCATTTGCGATACTAATAGAGTTTACTCGCAGATTTGTTTGGCCGCCGCTATTAAATGCGATTGAAACGCGCCAAAAAGAAATTGCTGATGGGTTAGCCGCCGCTTCAGAAGGCAGAAGTGCTTTAGAAGTGGCTGCAAAAAAATCAGAGGTAACTTTGAATGAAGCGAAGCAAAAAGCCAGCGAAATTATTGGCCAAGCTGAAAAACGCGCCAGTCAAATTGTTGAAGAAGCCAAAGGCAACGCCAAAGTAGAAGGTGATCGCATCATTGCGGGCGCAAAAGCAGAGATTGACCAAGAAGTGAATCGCGCAAAAGAAGGCTTGCGTGCGCAAGTGTCACAATTGGCTGTTGCAGGTGCTGAAAAAATCTTGCGCAAAGAGATTGATGCGAAAGCACATAGCGATATGTTATCTAAATTAGCGGCAGAACTTTAAGGAAAAGTCATGGCTGAAATATCAACCATCGCAAGGCCTTATGCGGTAGCGGCATACAAACTAGGCAAAGAGCAAAAAGCCCTTGCCAACTGGTCTGAAATGCTGGGTTTTGCTACTTCAATTGTCAATAACGCACAAATGCAAGCTTATATTCAAGACCCTAAGGTGGTGAATAGTGATTTGCAAGCTAATTTTTTAAAAGTGTGCGGCGATAAGCTCAATGAAAATGCACAAAACTTAATTAAAGTGCTCATTGAATATGGTCGCTTGTCGCTTTTGCCGGCTATCACAACAGCGTTTGAAGAACTCAAAGCGCAAGATGAAGGTACGTTAGATGCGCAAATTATCGCTGCTGCGAAACCAAGCGCAACAGAGGTTAAAGATTTAGTAAAACGTTTAGAAGCCAAATTTGGCAAAAAAATTGAAGCCAGTGTGACGGTTGATCCAGAAATTATTGGCGGTATTAAAATTATTGTGGGCGATACTGTGATTGACGCATCAGTCAAAGGTCAGTTGCAAAATTTAGCTTACGCGCTTACAGCATAAGAGGTTCGAGTCATTCAAGCTCGTACAGAAAAAATTATAGGAGTTTAGCAAATGCAGTTATCTACATCAGAAATCAGTGAACTGATTAAAAGCAGATTAGAAAATTTTTCGACCTCGGCTGAAGCACGTACGCAAGGTACCGTTATTTCAGTAACCGATGGTATTGTTCGTATTCATGGCTTATCAAATGTCATGGCGGGTGAAATGATTGAGTTCCCTGGCAATACATTTGGTTTGGCGCTTAACTTAGAGCGAGATTCAGTAGGTGCGGTTGTGTTAGGTGACTACGAGCACATCACCGAGGGCGACATCTGTAAATGTACAGGTCGTATTTTGGAAGTGCCAGTTGGGCCAGAATTAATCGGCCGTGTCGTGAACGCATTGGGTGCGCCAATTGATGGCAAAGGCCCAGTCAATGCCAAAATGACGGACAAAATTGAAAAAGTAGCGCCAGGCGTGATTGCGCGTAAATCTGTTTCACAACCAGTGCAAACAGGTTTAAAGTCAGTTGACTCTATGGTGCCAGTTGGTCGTGGTCAACGTGAATTAATCATTGGTGACCGTCAAACAGGTAAAACTGCAGTTGCTGTAGATGCGATTATCAACCAAAAAGGTCAAAACATGACCTGTATCTACGTTGCGATTGGTCAAAAGGCTTCAACAGTGGCTAACGTGGTACGTAAACTTGAAGAAAACGGCGCGATGGCTTACACCATTGTTGTTGCCGCTACAGCTTCTGATTCTGCCGCATTACAATTCTTAGCACCATATGCTGGTTGTACGATGGGCGAATACTTCCGTGATCGCGGTGAAGATGCATTGATTGTTTATGATGATTTGACAAAACAAGCGATTGCTTACCGTCAAATTTCATTGTTATTACGTCGTCCACCAGGCCGCGAAGCTTATCCAGGTGACGTGTTCTACATCCACTCACGTTTGTTAGAGCGCGCTGCTCGCGTGAATGAAGAATATGTAGAGAAATTTACAGGCGGGAAAATTAAAGGTAAAACAGGTTCATTAACTGCCTTGCCTGTGATTGAAACTGCGGCTGGTGACGTTTCTGCATTTGTTCCTACAAACGTGATTTCTATTACCGATGGTCAAATCTTCTTAGAAACTGACTTGTTCAACGCTGGTATTCGTCCTGCGATTAACGCGGGTATTTCAGTGTCTCGCGTGGGTGGTGCGGCTCAAACTAAAGTCATCAAGAAACTGGGTGGCGGTGTGCGTTTAGCATTAGCGCAATACCGTGAATTGGCTGCGTTTGCGCAGTTCGCATCTGACTTGGATGAAGCAACACGTAAACAATTAGACCGTGGTCGTATGTTTACTGAGTTGATGAAACAAGCACAATATGCGCCATTAAGTGTTTCAAATATGGCCATTACCTTGTTTGCTGCTAACAAAGGTTACTTTGATGACGTTCCAACCAATAAAGTATTAGCTTTTGAAAATAAATTGCATGGCTTTATCGGTTCAAAATATAAAACCATTGCTGATGCAATTGAATCAAGCAAAGACTTGAGCGGTGACAATGAAAAAGCGCTTGAGGCTGCAATTCAAGACTTCAAAGCGACTAATGCTTACTAATATCAAACTATTAGGAAAACTTACCTAGGGGTATTGGAATGGCTGGAAGTAAAGAGATTAGAACCAAGATTAAGTCGGTAGAAAATACCCGCAAGATCACCAAAGCGATGGAAATGGTAGCCGCTTCTAAAATGCGCAAAGCGCAAGATAGAATGCGAGCTTCACGCCCGTATGCTGACAAAATTCGTAACGTAGCAGCGCACTTATCGCTTGCACATTCTGAATATAAGCACCCATTTTTGGTAAAACGCGAAGTTGTTAAAAACGTTGGCATCATTGTGGTGAGTTCAGATAAAGGCTTGTGTGGTGGTTTAAATACCAATATGTTGCGCTTATCTATGAATCAAATGAAAGCGTGGGAGGCCAAAGGTAAGCGTCTCACTGTAAGTGCTATTGGTAATAAGGGTTATGCTTTTATGAACCGCGTCGGTGCAAGCGTGAAGTCGCATATCACGGGCTTGGGCGATGTTCCGCATTTAGAAACATTGATTGGTACCATAAAGGTTATGCTTGATGCTTATACTTCTGGTGAAATTGACCAGCTGTATATTTGCTACACAAAATTTATCAATACCATGAAGCAAGAACCTGTGATTGAACAGTTATTGCCTTTAACGACTGAGCGTTTAGGCACCCATGCTGAAACGCAAAAAGTAGAAGCTTTGACTACGAGCGGCGTAGTGAAAAGCGCTCTGCAAATTGGTGCTGCAAAAGGTCACTGGGATTATATCTACGAGCCAGAAGCAAAGCCCGTGATTGATCAATTGATGGTGCGCTACATTGAGTCATTAGTTTATAACGCAGTTTCCGAAAATATGGCTTCTGAACAATCATCTCGTATGGTAGCGATGAAATCGGCATCTGATAATGCGAAAAATGTGATTGGTGAGTTGAAACTGGTTTATAACAAGGCGCGTCAAGCGGCGATTACCAAAGAGATTTCTGAAATCGTTGGTGGCGCGGCGGCCGTATCTTAAGCGTAGTAGCAAAACGAATTTAATTGAAATCTGACTAAAGAAGTTAGGAAAAGAAAATGGCAAAAGCAAATCAAGTTAGTATCGGTAAAGTAGTGCAATGTATTGGTGCGGTGGTGGATGTTGAGTTTCCGCGTGACCAAATGCCTAAAGTGTTTGAAGCGTTGATTATTGACGATAAAAACTCTCAGGCAGAAGCAGGCTTAACATTAGAGGTTCAACAACAATTAGGTGATGGTGTAGTTCGTACTATTGCCATGGGCTCATCTGATGGCCTTGCACGTGGTACCCCGTTTAAATCAACAGGTAACCAAATTACTGTACCAGTCGGTACTGGCACATTGGGCCGAATTATGGATGTGTTGGGTCGCCCAATTGATGAGGCTGGTCCAATTGATTCAGACGAGCGTCGTTCTATCCACCAAAAAGCGCCAACTTTTGAAGAGCTATCTCCTTCAGTGGACTTGCTTGAAACGGGTATCAAGGTGATTGACTTGGTTTGCCCGTTTGCTAAAGGCGGTAAAGTGGGTCTGTTCGGTGGTGCTGGTGTGGGTAAAACCGTTAACATGCTTGAGCTTATCAACAACATCGCTAAGCAACACTCAGGTTTATCAGTGTTTGCAGGTGTGGGTGAGCGCACCCGTGAAGGTAACGACTTCTACCATGAAATGGCAGAAGCTGGCGTGATTAAGCTAGACAACATGAAAGAATCAAAAGTAGCGATGGTGTTTGGTCAAATGAACGAGCCACCAGGCAACCGTCTGCGCGTAGCCTTGTCTGGTTTGACCATGGCTGAGAAATTCCGTGACGAAGGTCGTGACGTATTGTTCTTTGTAGATAACATTTACCGTTATACCTTGGCTGGTACTGAAGTATCTGCGCTGTTAGGCCGTATGCCATCAGCGGTGGGTTACCAACCAACCTTAGCCGACGAAATGGGTCGTTTACAAGAACGTATTACTTCAACTAAAGTGGGTTCTATTACGTCTATCCAAGCGGTTTATGTGCCTGCGGATGACTTGACTGACCCTTCCCCTGCAACAACATTCCAACATTTGGACTCAACAGTTGTGTTGTCACGTGACATTGCCTCTTTAGGTATCTACCCAGCGGTTGATCCACTTGATTCAACTTCACGTCAATTAGACCCATTGGTGGTTGGTGAAGAACATTACAACGTTGCACGTTCAGTGCAACAAACATTACAACGTTACAAAGAGCTACGTGACATTATCGCAATTTTGGGTATGGACGAATTGTCACCAGAAGATAAACTAGCGGTTGGTCGCGCACGTAAAATCCAACGTTTCTTGTCACAACCATTCCACGTAGCTGAAGTGTTTACTGGCGCACCTGGTAAATATGTACCGCTAAAAGAAACAATCAAGGGCTTTAAAGCGATTGTGGCTGGTGAATACGATCACTTGCCTGAGCAAGCGTTCTACATGGTGGGTGGCATTGAAGAGGCTGTTGAAAAGGCCAAAACGCTTAACTAATCATTAAACGTTAGTTAATAGTTTTTAAGGAAAATTATGGCAAATACCGTTCATATCGATGTCGTAAGCGCTGAAGCGAGTATCTTCTCTGGCGAGGCGGATTTTGTAGTTGCGCCCGCTAGCGCGGGCGAAGTGGGCATTTATCCAAATCATGCGCCAATGATTTCAACCATCAAACCAGGTGCCTTGCGTATTAAGCAAGCTAATGTGGCTGAAGAAGCAGTGATTTTCATCTCTGGCGGTTTGCTTGAGGTGCAACCTGGAGTGATTACCATTTTGGCAGATACTGCGGTGCGTGGTCACGATTTGGATGAAGCTAAAGCTAGAGCCGCTAAAGAAGCAGCAGAAGAGGCATTGAAAAATCGTACTTCAGAAATTGATTACGCAACAGCGCAGGCTGAGCTATCTGAAGCGTTGGCTCAAATTCAAACTATAGAGCGTTTGCGTAAAACAACACATTAACCAGCTAAATAGCTGGTGGTATGAGTAAAAGGCGGCCTAGGCTGCCTTTTTTGTTATACTTTACATTAAGTTAATATAGATAAGAAATACTATGTCAGCACTAAATATCGTCATTTTGGCGGCGGGTAAAGGTACTCGCATGTACTCTAATACACCAAAGGTGTTGCACGAGGTTGGTGGAAAACCTATTTTAGGGCATGTAATTGAATGCGCCAAAGCACTCAACCCAAGCAAAATCATTGTGGTGTATGGCTATGGCGGAGGGACAGTACGTGAAGCTTTTGCGACTGAAAATATTACTTGGGTGAACCAAGCTGAACAGCTTGGCACTGGTCATGCCGTGCTACAAGCATTACCCTATTTGGATGCGGATGCGCAATCATTAATAATGCTAGGTGATGTGCCTTTGGTGGATGTAGCAACTTGCCAAGCCCTTATTGCAAAAGCGAGCAGTAAGCTGGCAATTTTATCGTTTAACAAAATTGACCCAACCGGATATGGGCGCTTGATTCGAGCAGATAATGGCAATGTAATCGCGATAGTTGAGCACAAAGACGCAACCTTAGAGCAGCGTAAAATCGCCGAGGTCAACACAGGCATAATGGCGATGCCAAATATGCACTTATTAAAATGGTTGCCACAAATCACTAACCAAAATGCACAGGGCGAGTATTATTTGACGGATATTGTCGGTCTTGCAGTGCAACAAGGTGTAGAGGTGGTTGCAGAAATTACGGGTGACGAATGGTCAGTGACAGGCATTAACTCTAAAACTGATTTGGCACAAATTGAGCGGGAATATCAAGCCCGCCGCGCACAAGGCTTGCTGGCACAAGGCGTTACTTTAAAAGATCCTGATCGTTTAGATGTGCGTGGCACAATAAGCTGCGGTAAAGATGTAGAAATAGATGTGAACTGTGTATTTGAAGGTGTGGTGAAACTAGGCGATAACGTAAAAATTGCAGCAAATTGCGTGATTAAAAATGCGCATATAAAAAATGGCACACAAGTTGCGCCATTTACGCATATTGATGACGCAGAGATAGGTGAGAACAACCGTATTGGACCATTTGCAAGGTTGCGTCCGGGTACAGTGTTACAAAGTGATGCGCATGTAGGCAACTTTGTAGAACTTAAAAATGCACAGGTAGATGTTGGTAGTAAAATCAATCACTTAAGTTATGTGGGTGATGCTACAGTAGGCAAACATGTCAACATAGGCGCTGGTACAATTACGTGTAATTATGATGGTGCTAATAAGTTCAGAACAATTATTGAAGATAATGCGTTTATTGGCTCAGATACACAACTAGTGGCACCCGTGACAATTGGAAAGAATGCGACTATTGCAGCAGGCTCAACAATTACGCTTGATGCGCCAGCAGGCGCTTTAACACTATGCCGAGCAAGAGAGCAAAAATCGATTACAGGATGGAAGCGCCCTGAAAAAATAAAGAAATAAGTATAAAGAAAGCATAGATTATGTGTGGCATTGTTGGTGCAGTTGCAAATAGAAACGTCGTAGCAACCTTGATTGAAGGTTTGAGCCGTTTAGAATATCGTGGATACGATTCTGCGGGTGTTGCCGTACTCAGCAAAGGTGCTATAGAACGTGTAAGAGCGGTGGGAAGAGTGGCGAATATGACCGAAAAGGCTGAAGCTGCGCAGCTAAGCGGCTTGGTTGGTATTGGACATACGCGCTGGGCAACACATGGTGGCGTGACCGAAAGTAATGCGCATCCGCATGTTTCAAAAGGTGAAGTGGCGGTGGTGCATAACGGCATTATTGAAAATCATGATGAGCAAAGAACACGTTTAAAAGCCTTAGGTTATGAGTTCACATCGCAAACTGACACTGAAGTGATTGCTCACTTAATTCACTTTTATCACCAAAAAGCGACGTTACTTGAAGCAACTAAGAAAGCTGTGAAAGAACTTACAGGCGCATTTGCCATTAGCGTGATATCAACAAAAGAGTCAGAACATATGGTCACAGCCCGCTTGGGTTGTCCTTTGCTGCTGGGTTTAGGTGATGGCGAAAACTTTATTGCATCCGATGTGTCAGCAGTGCTGTCAGTCACTCGCAATGTGATTTATCTAGAAGATGGCGATGTGGCCGATATTAGGCGCGAGGGCGTAACCATTTTTGGTAAAGACGGCGCTAAAGTTCAGCGTAAAATACATCAAAGTGACGTGTCTCTGGCAAGCTTAGAGCTTGGCCCATACGCACATTTTATGCAAAAAGAGATTCATGAGCAGCCACGCGCTTTGACAGACACAATAGAAGCATTGATTGATGATAACAGTTTCACCCCTGCCCTATTTGGCGACCAAAATGGAGAAGTGTTAAAACAAGTCAACAGCATTTTAATTTTAGCGGCAGGCACCAGTTATTATGCTGCGCTTACAGCAAAATACTGGTTAGAAAGCATTGCTAAGATACCGACCAATGTTGAAATTGCTAGCGAATATCGCTATCGCGAATCTGTGCCAAACCCGCAACAACTCATTGTGACCATTTCACAATCTGGTGAAACGCTTGATACGATGGAAGCACTTAAGCATGCTAAAAGTTTAGGGCAAAACCTTACATTGGCGATTTGCAACGTGCAAGAAAGTGCCATTCCACGTGCCTCTAAGCTTGTTTTTTACACACGCGCAGGGGCGGAAATTGGGGTAGCGTCGACCAAAGCCTTTACGACTCAATTAGTGGCATTATTTACTTTAGCCGCAACGCTAGCTAAGCTGAAAGGCATTTTAAGTACCGAGCAAGAACAAGCGCATCTGGCTGCATTGCGCCAGCTAGCAGGTAGCGTGCAGCACGCGCTTAACTTAGAGCCGCAAATTCGTGAGTGGGCAAAACGCTTTGCTGATAAAGAACACGCGCTGTTTCTAGGGCGTGGCATTCATTACCCAATCGCGCTAGAAGGCGCTCTAAAATTAAAAGAAATATCTTATATTCATGCTGAAGCTTACCCCGCTGGCGAGCTAAAACATGGCCCTCTAGCATTGGTGGATAACAATATGCCTGTGGTAGTGATTGCGCCCAATGATGCTTTGCTTGAAAAAGTAAAATCAAACATGCAAGAAGTCAATGCGCGCGGAGGTGAGCTATTTGTGTTTGCCGATGCGGACAGCCATTTTACTGAAAGTGCAGGTGTGCATGTCATTCGCACCCCGCGTCATGTAGGTGTGCTCTCCCCTATTTTACACACCATCCCCGTGCAAATGTTGGCGTATCATGCCGCTTTGCTAAAAGGGACTGATGTAGATAAACCGCGCAATTTAGCTAAAAGTGTAACAGTGGAATAAGAGCATTTTTAACGTCGTAATTTAGCCATCTTCATTGGCACTGCCCTGTAAGCCAGCATCCATGAGGCTTCCAGGACAGTGTTTTTTGCTCGGGGCAATTTAAAGAAGCCACCAGCCTAACCAAGTAGCACAAACTTGAACAATCAGTGCTGGAATCACTATCCGTGCAAACTTGATGCCTCCGCTAACGAACGCCATGATGGCCTTTGAAATGGTATTGAAAGTAAATGCGAGTAATATAGGTATTATTGCATTGCTTAGGCTCAATTTACCCGCACTTACTAAGGAAGCTACCGAGATTGTTGAAGCATGGACATCAGCAAAACCTGCTACGCCAACAGCAAGTAAAAGCCCCATTTGACCAAACCAATTTTCTAAGGCAGCAGAGGTGATTAGTATAATAGCAATCACGGTAGCGAAAGTGAGCGCAGTTTTTACACTGAAAGTTTTAGTTAATTTGTATTTCTCTATGTCGTTATTTTTAAATGAGCTAATCGTTACGATAGCACCATAAATGGCAATAGATAAACCACCAAAAATAAGTGGCCATTGAAGTGCATGCAATGTGGCAGGATGAACGGCAAATAAGAGCATGGCGAGTTGTAAAATTGTGGCAAGGCTAGATAATATCGCGCCAGCCGCTGCTGCACTTAATAGCTGAGGCGTCACTTTAGCGCGTTCTCCCATTGTGTTAATCGTTGCAATGCTAGAAATAAAGCCAGAAACTAGCCCCACAAGTGGTAAACCAACTTTATCGCCTAGCCAACGCAAAGCTAGGTGACTTAGCGCACTAATTGTCATTACCAATATCACAATCAGCCAAAGATTGTGTAGATTAATTGCACCAAAAGGTCCAATAGTTTGGTTTGGTACTAAGGGTAATATAATAAGTGTTGCCGCTGCAAGAATAAGAAAATCATTTAACTCATCTTTTGTCACTGTGCCAAGCACAAAGCCATGCATCGGCTCTTTGGCAGCCAGTAAAATAGCCACGCTCACAGCAATAGATGCAGCTAATGTAGCTTGGCTCATGGCTAATCCACCTAAAATAACAGTGAATATGAGTGTGATTTCCGTGGTCAAACCTGGATCTTCTGTGCGTTTAGCAAAATAAGCGATTGCCGCAAAAATCATTACACAACATATAGAGGCTATTAGTAACCAAAAGTTAACAGTAATACTAACGGCACCAAGTAAAGAAGCAATGGTGAAAGTGCGTATGCCAG